TGCCTGGCCCCTCTACTCAACGAAGGTCCTGCATTTGCAAGAGGAACCGAGGAAAGCACGCAAGCGACAGTTAAGAAACATGTTGTGTGTGTGGTGTTCTGAATATTCAGTTGTCCTATCTTCAGAGGTCCTTATAAGAAAGATCCTTGAACTATTTTGGGGTAGCAAGGATCCTAGAATGAATTGCTTCGGGGAGGGGCTAGGTGACTAGAGGCCCAAACCCCCGAGCTCTAAACTGTACCCCCGTGAAGGCTGAAGCCTACGTCCTTGAACAAACCCTTACTCCTGAGTGCTACAGGTTATTCCTAAGGCCCTAAACCCGAGAAAAGAATTCCACTAAAGGCAGCGCCGACAAGGCAAAAACAACCTACAAAACAGTATCAAACCCCTAAACCCTAACCCCTAAACTCTAAAGGAAAACCCGAAGAGGAGCCTCCAACAAGCAGCCGCGACCCTTGGGCCGTGGCTTCGGCGGTGGTCGCTCACATGCGCCAGGCCTCTCCGTATTTGTTCAGAAATCTGGGGCTTATAGGGTTTAGGATTCAGGGTTTAGGGTTTAGGGTTTAGGGTTTAGGTGGGGTTTAGACCGGTTGAAGCCGGGACCCACAAACCCCAGAATGATCTCCAAAGTAAGCCTCTGGAGCAGAAGAGATACCGCAGTAGAAGTCACTAGGCAAGTACTTGAGGTTACGCTCCGTCGGTCCGAACACCCAGACCATGAGCCAAAGCTTAGAAGTTCGAAATCCTAGCGTTTCAAAAGCAGCACAGAGCTGGGGGGAGGTGTTTGTGGTACAGACATCATGGTCATTGTTTTCTGGTCTTGGGGTCCGGAGATTGCATGACCTCCTGGCTAAGATTGCAAGAGACGGCAGGTCCTAGAATCCATGAGGACGCCGGGTCCTTTTTTACAGTTGGAGCCTCGGCACATGCGGAAGCTCCGAAAACAGAGTCCTTCGCAGAAGGCTCCTAGAATTTTTAGTCCTGAACCTCCGGGCCAACTCCTGTAACTCAAGGCACTACGCTCGAAAGCCAAAGCTCCACCGAGAGAGCTTCGATCGAGAGAAGCCCGCGAAGCTGAAATCTGTAAGTACCAATGCAGCAAAACCGTTGCGGCCCTACGGCCTAGAAGTATACGTCGCATTGATACGTCGGCCCTGAGCATCCCTAACGCCTAATCCCTAAACCCTAAGCCCTAAGCCCTAAACCCCTAAACCCTGAACCTCCCTAGCTCCTATAAACCCTGAACCCTGAACCTCCCTAGCCCCTAAACCCTAAACCCCCGAACCCTCGGGAAGGTGTCAGACCTGCGAACCCAGATGAGCGGCCTACACGATGCCGAACACCGGCGTGCCTGGCGGACGGTGGAGCACGAGGGTCAGATCCAGAGGCGAGGGTTTCGGGCTTTTTAAAGGGTTCCTTGAAGGGTTTAGGATTTATAGGGCTTAGGGCTTAGGGTTTAGGTATTAGTACTTTTTGCTTAGGGTTTAGGGTCTAGTTTGCTTTGGGGGGCACTCTCAAAAGATCGATTGGGGTTTGGAGTTTAGGGTGTGTGGAGTGCACGTTCGCGGTTGCGGATCTGGGGGTTCAAGGTTTAGGGGGTCGGGTTCAGGGTGTAGGGTTCAAGGTTAGGGTTTGGGGGGGGGGCTTTCCGAACCCTGGGCTCTATAGTAGACTACTGAATCTTCATTGCCTCAACGTTTGTCGATTTGGGTAGTTCTCTAAATTGGGGTCCCTTTTTAGGTCCCCAATATAGTACGGCACCCTTGTAAACAGGCCCCCCAAAGCGACCCTAATTTAGAAAACTACCTATTTAGACACCTGAACCTTTACCCCAAGTCCTGCCATCGCGGAGGCATACACGCTTGGAGCACTTCTTTGCGGGCTTGAGAGAAAGCCCCCGCAAGACCCCTCCACAAGGCGGGAAGACCTGCAGCTCTTTTTTCAAACAGCGCACTCTGCCAGAACCCCCCAAGCGCCCTTCAATGGAGCCCTTATGGCCCTTGATAGTGGGTACTTAGGGTATATTAGAGGGTAGTTGGGGGGTCTAGGTGCTCCTGGGACCCTACTACGGGTTTGATGATTTCTACAGACTCTCGACAACTCGTGGATTCTGGTCCGCTTCCGTCTGATTCCCATAGAAGCTTCGGGTTTCATTGGCATGAGGACTTCGGCCAAGAGGTTTCATCACCGGCCCAGGCTGTGGGGCACTTGGCGCTCGAAGCTTTAAGGCTTGAAGGTCGGAAACCTACCAGCTCAGCATGTTAGACCGTGAAACCTTCCTGCCTCAGGAAAACTTTCTGGAAGCTCTTAAATACCAGAAAACCATAATATGCATGGATCCACTCTAAACTCCAAAAGCCCCGGACCCCCAAACCCTATGAACCTTGAACCCTAAACCCTAAACCCTAAACCCTAAACCCTATGAACCTTGAACCCTCCTTGCAGCGAACGGCTCCCGAGCGTAGCAGAGGCGCTGCTGCCAACAAGCGCCTGTCGCAAGCCTCGCAGTCGGGGCCGGGAGCTGGATTTGTTTCTTATGCTCTCAGGGTCCAGGGGTAGGATACGTATTATAATATAAATATAAATATAAATATAAATATAAATATAAATAAATAGATAAATATATATATATATATGTATGTATATATATATATATATGTGTATATATATATATATATGCATGTATATGTGTCATCGTGCAGGAGTTGTGTCCTGTATGCATGCAACCATGCCATGCAGTTTTACAAGCAAGCCATGTCAGGCATCGCGACTCCGTGCAGCGGGGCTCTGTGCAGGGAGCCTCGGCGCAGCGAACCTCGCTGTCTACCACGGCCTCGCCCTTCACTAGCCAGATGAGCCACGGCTTGATACCCATAGTAGGGTTGGGTTTAGGGTTTAGGGTTGAGGGCTCAGGGCTTTTACCTATAGGCCCCATAGTAGTTCCTTTTTGCGATTACCTAGTAGGGTTCTAAATATGAACCCCAAAAAGGAACTACTATGGGGTCTATGGGTAGACGGACCTTAGTTACGTGTCAGGTTTCGGGGTGTTGGTTCACTTGTTGGGGTCTAGGACCTAGGCTTATTTACAGACGGGTGGTGGGTTATTTCCGGAGTGTTCACTGTTTTAGAGGGCACTGCACCAAGTCTCGGCCCTGAGCGTTCTTCTTGGGGGTTTAGGGCCTTTAGGGGTTCACGGTTTAGGGTTCAGGGTTTAGGGTTTAGGGTTCATTAAGGCTCCTTGACGGAATTTGGATAAGATAGCGTTCGAATCGATGACTTTCGAATCCCACCCAGTCCTGGTCACTCTGGGTTCAGATAATATAGGGGCCTCAATAATTGCCTACACGATTTTGGAGGTTCCTTATTATCATTATAGTATAATGGGCCCCAAGCCCTATTCTAATTATTAAGGCCCCTAGACCCTAAACCTTCATAGTAGCCCTTATAGAGCCCTTTATAGGAACCCCCCAAACCCTATTCTAATTATTAAGGGCCCTACATTACTGTTGGGTTCGGGGCTTTGGGAGACCCTGGGATGGCTTGATGGGCTGCTTGAAGCCTGGCATGTCCAACATCGAAAACCTAAACTCTTAAACCCCAACCTGTCCCAGCACCCCCCAAGTACCCTTTAATGGAGCCCTTATGGTCCTTAATAGTGGGTATTTGGGGTTTATTAAAGGGTAGTTGGGGGGGTGCTGGTCCGTGAGCCCCCTTTAACCCCAGCCTCTGAACCCGCCAAACCTGTCAGGCCCTACACCCACAGGAGCCCCGGGTACACTGAATAGAGGCCGTATGGTCCCTCCTGGTTCGTATTTGTGTAATTAGTTACAACGTAGCCGGACGGAAAAGTGAAGCAACGCAGCAAAAGCCGACAACAAGCGTCTCAAAGCCCCTCGAGAACATGTAAGCCCTAAACCTTATATCTAATACCCTAAATCCTAAACATCCCTAAAAGCCCTAAACCACGAGTGAAAGTCAGGAGCCCCTCCAGCCCCAGCTTCGCCTCCACCTGGAAAGATCGGCCAAGCCGCAGCCGACGCTTTGAGAAAGAATGCACCCGGAACGGTGTTGGGTCTTGGGTTGTTGTTTAGGGTTTGTTCTGGGTTTAATGTTTGGGGTTCAGGTCTTCTTCTGAATTTTAGGTTAGTCTAGGGTTTAGGGATCATGCGGACTTAGCATGTTATTTGTTTGTGTTTTGGCTGGGTCTTGTGTATCAGAGTTACATGAAGTTTTGTGCATGTTTCCATAGGAGAGGTTCATCGGATGGATTATACTCTTCTCTGCATGTTTAGAGGTATATTCAGCCCCGGAACAAGCAGACAGTATTCCGCCATTCCGCCGGGTTACCTTGGATATGGAAATTCGCTAACGCTTCAGATGTTTTATGGGTGCCTGCAAGGCATCAGTCATACGCTTTACTTTATAACTTGGGATCTGCTCTGAGGTTGGAAATCTAGCAAACTGGAGTCTATGAGTGAGAGAGCTGATTTCTACCCTACACTCGAAGGGCTGAAGGGTTTCGGCGAAGGGGATTAGGGTTTTAGGTCGCGATGTAGCGATGTTTCAGCTGAACAGTTGATGGATTTGTTGGCTTCCGAGGGGGCCAGGGTTCACCCGGCCCTCGCAGCCTTGATATGGACTGAGAATATGGGGGTGTCGGGCCGTCCTATGACATAGTCTGCCTTAGCTGAGAGCTTGGGCGAACGTTCAATAGACTGACTCTATTGTTTTTCGTCGAATTCTCGAGAGCTTCATTTGCTAGAACTGACTTCGTGTCTCTGGGTCCCCAGAAACCTCTATAGATATACGAGGGCACACTACATACTCGATGACCTCGAAGAAGCGGGTTCTGGCAGGTCCCCGTACCAAGCTACGTTCTCTACCTCTAGCCCTAAACTCCCCCACTCCTAAGCCCCAAAAAGGTTTGAGTCTACACCATTCAACGGCCTACACCCTCAACCCTCAAGCCTTTTTGTGCCAAAGCTGCGAGTGCGTTTGAGGTTGTTCCGCGATGACGGCTGCCGACCACGAAGAGTGGAGCCAGCAGATGTCCTCAATGACAGTACCCGAAGCTCTGCTAGCATCAATCGAAGAAGCTGTTTGGGGTTTTGGGTCGAACAGGGGCGCGGGACGAAGCTGATTATCCTGGACTTGATACTTTCAGGCAGACTGATCGTGTGAACCCGGGCTTCTTGAATCCTGAAGTTTACCCATAGGCCCCATAGTAGTTCCTTTTTGCGATTACCTAGTAGGATTCTAAACATGAACCCCAAAAGGAACTACTATGGGGCCTATAGGTATTTGAGACCTTATGGGAACTCTCCACCCTTCTCTGGAGGCTTCGCGCCTGGGCTTCGGACTCTTAGGTTTCGGTTCCGGAATTCAGGGATCTGTTGAACGCATCATGCACTTCAGGATGGAGGGCTGAGGTCGTCCGTCTCAAAGGACAGCACAAAGCTTGCCTTGTTGTCCTCATTCGTTCTATGGCATGCAGAGAAACCGAACAGCGCTGTCATGCGAATTTCAAATTTCCCTCTTGCATTTGGGGTGTAAACGCAGACTGGACTCATGCACACAGCTGGCCACCTGAAATGACCTGAGACGCAAAGGAGATGCCGATGATGACTCAAACCGCAACCCTGCGACGACGATCCTCCGGACCCTCGAAGAGATTATACGTCTGGTCCATTTGGGAGTTTCCGAAAAGAAGGGGTACCTTATCTTGGGGTCCTTATAATAAGGGTCCTACTATTTAGGGTGCTATCTTAGGGTCCCCTATTTTGGGAAACCCCCACTTGTCTAGACCCAAACAACATATTGATGTCGTCGTTGATGTTCTCCCAGCAGGGCTCCCTTTGATTGAAAGAAGGTGGGGCTCTTCGTTTGGCTTGGGGCTGAAGTTTGTGTGTTCAAGGAGAGTTCGAGCTTGCACTGTGAAGCTACCCATGGGCTATAACCCACGGCACCCCGCAATTCGTATCGTTCTGCATGTGAGCCTTTGCGCGAATCTCGAAGTGCATCTCGCTGAGCAGGCAGGATCGTGCTTCCGCCGGTAGTTCCTGCCTACGAAGCAGACGATGATTCAAGCACGCCAAAGGACTCTTTGGCATCTTGATTGCATGAGTCGGCCGGCTACGTGATTCAGTGCTACATTAAGGCGAAGATTTGCAACCTTTGTGGAAATACAGGAATAGAGAAATTTCAGGTTTATATTTCCAGAAATAAGTTTTCGAGAACTGAAGTTTCCATGTATCACTTTAGCCAAACACGTAGATTTGCGATCAAGATACTTCTGACCGAGGTGGTCGCTGTGCCGCCGGGCGGCTTCAACTACTTCGCCGTTTTCCCACACTTGGCCAAAAAGCCCCCACCACCGGCCAGGCAGGCATTCGTGTTGGACGTATCCAGATGCTCTACATCGCATACACACATAAACTATGCAGGCCTACTCCGCCCAGGGGAATTGTTATGCTCCCGCAGAGTTTGCCCTGTAGGTGCTTGCGTGGGGCTGCTCCTCAATTCTTCTTTTTGTCTGTAGTATTATCGCTCATTGCTGTCAATATCAACTGTTTGTATTTGTATGCTTAAACCGACGATTGCGGGATTGTCTTGGCCCAGATTGGACATTGGAACCACTCGGCCATGTTATGGCACAAGCCCCAAAACCCGTAAACCCTAAACTGCCCGAAATCCTGCGCCCCAAGAATACTCAGTTCCGACGAAACCACAGACCTCCAACAAAAACGCCCTGCACAACCCCCCGAAGATGCTAAAAGACCTTACAAGCCTACTACAGTACCCTATCTGCTCCCTTGCAGTACACCTACTGTATCCCCCTCACCAGATTAGAATAGGGTTTTGGGGGTTACTTGTTATCATTACAGTATAATATACCCCCCAAACCCTATTCTAATTGTTAAGGCCCCTAAACCCTAAATCCTTATAGTAGCCCTGACGGAGCCCTTTTGAGGAACCCTTTAAAGGAGCCCCCAAACCCTATTCTAATTCTTGAGGCCCCTTCTCGTACCCTTATATGGAGGCGGCTCTTCTTTAAGGAGTTGCCGGGGACCCCAAGCTCCAGCGAGTGGCAGATGGAGGAGCAGCTGTCAGGTAGAGCTCACGGGTTCCATTTAGGGTTTAGGGATTTAGGGGTTTCTTTAGGGTTTAGGGTTTAGGGTTTCAGGGAGGGGTGATTCGAGATGAGTTTTCTCAACTTCCCTCGTGGCTGTGGTCTAGGGTTAGGGTTTGGGCTTTTCGCTTACGGCTCTGGGATCAAAAAGCATCCCCTTCTGACTTAATTACGCTTCTGGGTGAAGGTGCAGGATTTGGCAGCTTGAGATCCTTTTCTTTGCATGTCCCGTATGGCCTGGTTTTGCGGTTTTGGTGAATCCTTTCCGCAATTTCCCGGGTTTTTTTGGGTTCAGTGGTATTTTCTTGCAGACCACATTTGAGAGTTCGCTGAAAACACCACCCAGGAGATCTTGGTGCGGATCCGGAAAGAGAGGACATGGGTATTCAGGGTCACAGGCACTTTTGGGGTACAGGGCTGCAAGACCTAACCCTAAGCCCTAAACCCATGAGAAAAGGTTCAGGGTTGAAGGGTGTTGAAGGTTTCGGGTGTTATGGCTCAAGGGTTTAGGACATTTGGGGTTTTAAGGTTTTTAGGGCTTTGGGGTTTTAGGGTTTTGGGGTTTGGGGTTTAGAGGTCAAACACCTCTTGGCTGTCTTGTCTGACCCTACGAGGAGAAGGATGGCACTGTTGTCGGGGAAGGGGAGGTCGGTGTGTGTTCTGTTGCACCCTAAGCCCTAAACCCTAAACCCTAAACCCTAAACCGTTGCCTGAGTGCACTCAAGGCCCAAAACAGAAGCTACACCCTCAAAAGTTCGGTAAAGCCTCCTGTAGCTTCACACCCATTGTGGGTGCCGGCAACTGGGGCTTGGGGCTTGCGGCTTTGCCGGGTCTAGACTTTTAGATAAGGCCACTCAGAAATGCACCTAGTCATAAACTGTTGAAACTTACCCTTATTCAGAAACCCCAAACACAAAATAATATGTATATATATATATATATATTATGTATATAAGTATAAGCCCATAAGCCCTAAACCCAACCTTGGAATATGTGTGTTTAGGTGGTTTTTCTGGGGTTTCGGGATCGACTCCAAGACCCCGCCAGGACGGAAAGCGTGGTTTCACCGTCCGATCTCCGCGAGGCGTGCGAGACGAGACTCTGGGGGGAGCTCCTAGCTGGAAAGAGAAATTAGCTGCCCAACACCTATAGAATCAATTACAGGCTATTTTTCTACGTACTCCTATACCTTGGATCTGTGAGGGTCATTTAGGGTGGCTTAGGGATTAGGAAGTGGAACGGTGTAGGGCTTAGGGCTTGCGGTGGTTCGGCTTAAAGGTTTTAACAGAACAGGTTTGGATTGTTCAGGCTTGATGGCTTGTGGGTTTCAGCGTGTGCTGACCTGAAGCCGCGAGCCAGTCACGTACCATGCCGAACGGCCCCGAGCCCTAAATCGAGGAAGGACCGAACCAGCTGGAGGTCCTTGTCTTTCAGTGTTGCAGGGTTTAAAAAGCCTGTCTACATCTTCTTCTCCGTAATATCCAGAGATTCTTAAACCATCCGAAACCATTCATGGCTTCGGCACCCTAGGTTTCCGAAGTCCTTGATTGAATTGCTTGCAAGAGCTGGGAGGGGAAACGAGGGATTGGCTTACCTGTTCCTGAGGACATTACTAGCTTTAGTGTCCAATCACAAGGTTCAGGCGTCTTCAGAGTTCAAAGGAGCGCAGGGCTTGGGCCGTTTTACCATATCCTCTAAACTCAAGCCCTAAATCCCGAAGCCCCAAGCCCTAAAACAGCCCTAACCTAAATCCCAAACTCCAAACCCCAAACCCCAAACCCTAAACCCTAAACCCTAAGCCCTAAGCCCTAAACCCTAAACATAAACGGTGTTCTTCGCAGGCCGCGCGGCTCCTGAATGGCGACGGCGAGCCCGCCCCTTCACGCAGGCATGCCTCACAAGCACCCAGAGAGTTTGGCACCCCGAAGTTCCCGCCCGCCGTCCATGCGAGGCAGTCGGTCGCTTCCCGCCGCAACTCTGCGCGCCTCGACAACCAAACGGTATAATATAGGGGCCTTATTAATTAAAATAGGGTTTTGGGGTGTATTATACTATAATAATTAAAATAGGGTTTTGGTGGTGTATTATACTCTACTTATAATACGGAACCCCCCAAGACCCTATTCATATTATTTATTTAGGCCCCTACATTATACCCTTGGCTAGGGATTGGGATCGTGGGGTTATGTGGGGTTGGGAGTTTGGGAAATTATGTCTTTGTGGTTTGGGGGTCAGGGTCCTAGGTTCTTCAGGGTTCGGTCGGACATTCGTGAGTCAGTGGCAGCCATCAGGACTTTGCCTGCTCAACGCATGATAAGGACTAGACGAGGCTAGGCTCAGGGCTTTGAGGCTTTGGCTTTCGGATTTAGGATTCAGGCTTTTGGGATGTTGTAGGTTAGTGTGAACATTGTCAGGATGTATTATTTGTTCGAGCTAAACCTCCTGAACCTAACCCTTAGCCCAAAGGTCTAGACCCTTACTTCCCAACCCTCAGCGGCCAGTTGCGACTGTATGATAACCCCGCGCCTTTAGGTTTAGTCTTGGCATGTCCTTGTTGGGTTTTGGATGGGTTTCTCTGGTAAAACCCAACTGTTGGGTCTTCATGCCTGGCAAAGTAGCTCAAAGCCCAGAGGCCTAGAGCCACAACCACAAAGATACCAGATGAAGAACGGAGTGCTTAATGTCTCAGAAAGGCTACATGGAGGCCGATTCTCAAATCCAAAGGCAAACTTCGCCAAAACCCATAGCATAGGAATCCCTTTTAGTCCATACCGTTATAAGTAGAAGTAGAGTACAATCTAACAAAGAACAGTTCTCGAGTTCAATCCACCCCCTACAATGGACGACTCACAGCAAACCATGACCTGCAAGGCAACCCACCCCAAACCGGGCAACTCTCCAAATTCACGACCTTCCTTGTGAAATTCATGCACTGCTGAGGTACAGAGTTTAGGCTTCTGGGTGTTCTGTGTGGACAAAGGAGTTGTGCCTTCGTTCCTGGCTTCCGGTTGCGCAAGGTCCTATACTCAGAGCCTGACTATGTCTGCACCGCAGCTGGTGACCGTGCTGATCCACCAACGGTTGCAAAGGGGTCAGGTTTCATTACTTCAGGCGCTTCGGGGTTATGAAGCAAACCCAAAAGGGTTTAGGCGTTGGGGCTTTAAAGTTTAGGACATAGACTCCTAGTAGGGGGATTTTTGTTGTTGGGCGGTTAAGGGCAAGTGGATTGCTGGAAGCTAGGTCCCCTTTCAGGGGTCCGGTGTCCGAATTGGAAGACACCGAGGTAGAAGGTTCAGTAGGGGTTTAGGGTTGAGGGTTGAAGATACCTACCCAAACCCCCCAAAAGCAGCTAAGATAGTGGCCCAACACGTACACAAGGCTATTCTTCTACATGCTTTGGGCGTCCAGGGAAAGGCTCTAAGGTGAGCTTCGTTTCATTTATGTACCCTCGGTTCCTCAACCCACTAGAATCCCGGCTAAAGCTTCTCTTGGTGCACGAGGGCAGGAAGCCTTAAACCGCACACCTTTTCCAATCTGTGCAAGTCCTGGGCTCTTGCCCCCAGACCCAAATCTTGAATCTCAATTCGAAGCTCGTTCTTGCATGCAGAAAAAGGGGAATCATGAAGGAAGACAGTTGTAGGGATGTGATCTGAGAAGCAGTACCCCATTGAGGTGCTTCTGAGTCCAAGCCTGAAGCCTAGACCCCAATCCCCCAACAATAAACCCGAAAGCTCTTAACCCTAAACCCTAAACTCTAAACCCGAAAGCTCTTAACCCTAAACCCTAAACTCTAAACCCGAAAGCTCTTAACCCTAAACCCTAAACTCTAAACCCGAAAGCTCTTAACCCGAGACCCTCTCAGGCCATGGCAACCACAGTGGGTGCGATGCCCCAAGAAGAGGACAATCGAGGTCAGCCCCGGGTGCAGCACCTGGGGAAGAAGCAGGGGCGTTTGGGACTGAAGGGTTTGTCAAAAATGGGTTTTAGGGTTTAGGCTCGCTGAGGCTTTAGGGAATTAGGATCCAGGAAGATCAGGAGTATTGAATAGCTTGCTTGTGGGTTCTTATCTCAGGATCATGGCTTCGGCTGGGGGTTGTGGATTTCAGGGCTTCAGGGGCTCCAGCAATCGAGCTCTGCCTTGAAATTAGCCTTTGATGGTTCGGGCTTCTGGGTCTGGACTGAGGCCTTGTTTTTGTTCGCATGATGTTTGGCTGTTTCCTCCATCGATCCCCATAGAGCTTTATTTGTAGTAAGCCCCAGAAAGTTGCAAACCGGATTAAGGACAAATAGTGCTGGGATTCCCCATACATGACTCTTCAGGATTGAGGCATTGAGGCTATTGGGTTTCCAACTTTTGGGCGTCTACTATAAAGGTTCAGGTTTTCGCCCTGCGGCCAAGGCCTTTCTTAATGCCTAACAGGGCGCGTTGTGGTTGGGTGTCTAAGGTTGGGAGATGTTCGGGGAGTCCATGGGCATGCAACCTTCTAGGCATTTGAAGGAGGCTCGTGCCAAAACTCCGACGACATTAGCAACAGCTGTTAGGCTGAAGCACAACAGATGCTTGATGATGCTTGTATGTACATGTGCATGCATCGTACGTCATGTGCATCTGCATTCGTACATGTGTTAGTAAGCATGCAGGCATGAAAGTTTGCCTGCAGCCTTGCTTGCGTGGGCGGGCGGGTGGAGGGGCGTTCGCTGACTCGTGGGTCGATCAATGCTTGCCTGCTCGCATGTCGGTGCGTATCGGTAGGTATGTTGTTGAGCGTACATGCATGTTCTCACGTATGTGTTGCTCTGTTATGTTATGCTGTGCTACGTTATGTTATGCTATGCTATGTTATGCTATGCCAGTTTACATTAGGCTACTGTAGACTATGTTATGTTGCATGGTTATATGACGCTATGTATGTACGTATGTGCGTATGATTGCGTATGTGTAGGTACATGTAGGTGCATAGGTAGGTAGGCGATAGCTAGGCATGCATGTGTGCATGCCTATATGTACTTGTAGAATTAGAAAACGCACACACAGAACCAGACACACAGGCATGCTTGCGCGCATGCACTGCATGCAGTTCTTCCTTCTACAGATTATAAAAGTTGTTCTGTGTATCAGGCTTGGTGAAGCAGCTCATGACTTTCCGAAAGGATGACCTGCACTCTACGCTCTACAAAAAAAGATGCTTGAAGCAATTGTCGTGTGTAGTTGGAGCTTGTTCTTGAGGGCTCTTGGAATGCGGGTGTGTCGGCAGCTAGTGAGTGTCGAGTATGCCATAATATTAATATGGATAGTTCTCTACATTCCAGGTCCCAATAGTACGGCCCCTCTTTAAATAGGACCCCAACAGGGACCCTAAATTAGAAAGCCACCCATATACCCTCAAGCCCTACTTTTACTTATTAAGGCTCCTACTGTCCGAAGGTTCAGGGTTGTGGAGATTCCGTACTCTTGGCCCCGGTCGGGCGGAGCTTTCGGTCGCAGCAAAGCCTTAAGGATCTAGGTCTTTGGGCATCTGAAGTGTGAAGTGTGAGTCTTAAGCGAGAGCATGTAGACGTATACTGGGGGCCTTGACAAGTAGAAGCGGTTTTGGGGCCCGTTCTACCATACTTATAACCTGTCCCAGAAAAGCCGGCCAAATAATATTAAATAATCAAAGCAATCCGAAAGCCTGACAGGAAGACATGTTCGAGGTGGCTACGAAGTCTGGAAGAGCAGTCTGTGAACCACTTGACAGAGCGAGCGTTCTACGAACTTGACAGTGCATCTGAACAAGCCTGATCAACCCATCAACCCCAAAACGCTAACCCGAAACCCCTAAACCTTAAACTCCCAACATAGACCTCGAATTTCCTAAGCCGTAAAACTCTAAACCCGAACACCGAAGCCCTCTGAGGAGTGGCCGATGGCAGAGATCCGTGTCCAGATCGCATCTTCGACCGCAACGTGCGGCGTGAGCTGGCGCGAACCTGGCAGGCCATTCAGGTTTGGGCTTGTGTATTACATTGCATTGTGTCGTATCATATGATGTTTTACATGTTACAATACGTGATAACCGTAAGGGTCCTAAACGGTATCTGTAAGTTCTTATCAGGGTTCGAAGTCAAATTGTTTTCGGGGTTCGAGAAGTCAGGTGTCAAGGATTTGAGATGATATACGGTCACTGTGTTTTAGAAAGATGGGTGCGGGATGTTCGAGCTTTTCGGCAGGTTTGGGGTACACCAGTTTGTGGCAACTCCCCGAAAGCCTAAAGCCTGAAAAGCCAATCCCTGGCACCTACCCAGAACCCGAAGCATCCTTAATTTGTGGCTTCAAGAAAGCATTCCCGACAACTATCTTTCTATCTATCTGTACATATACAAATATATATATATATATATGTATATATATATATAAGTTATATGTATATATATATATATAGACAACCTCATGCTTTCAAGACGGGTTCGGGATATGGGATTTGGATTTTCAAGCGTCCCCAAAAGCAACGCAAATCCAAAGTCGCATGAATGCGTGCGTAAACGCTGAAACCTCAAGACGAGTCCCAAATTACAAGCAGCCCTCCAAAGCCCCTGCCTACATGTTCCCCCTGCCGGAGGCTCCCTTTACTACGCCTGCGGCCGGGCAGCCACCGCCCCGCAACCTGCGCACCACATCCCATGGATTGCCGCCACTGTTTCAGAAGGCTGGGCCCTAAACCCTAAACCCTAAAGCCAGATCTGGGTTAGGGTTTAACCCTAAACCCTAAACCCTAAAGCCAGATCTGGGCAAGGGGCTGCCGGAAAGCAGGTTCGCGCCGGTCGAAGCCGGGTCGACGCAGCATGAAGCATTCTTACTTGAAGGAGCCTCATGCGCAGCCGGATCCTACCTAAAACCGTGGAAACCCGCGGGATAAACAGAATAAAAGTATATAGTAGTATATAGTAGTGTATAAAGTATATGACGATATGTAATAGCTATAGCATAGAATAGTATGTGACAGTATTTGATATACAGGAGCATTTCGGGTCCCAAGTTCCACGCCTGACAGGGAAGCTACTGGAATCCCGAGCGCGAGCAAGATGTGGAGTGCAATCCGGGGGCCGCGAAATACTTGAGGTCGGTCGGAGCTGGGTTTAGGTTTTAAGGTTGGCTTAGCAGTCCAACTTGCAAGGCCTAGGTTTTGACTTAAAAGTGTCGGGTTGTTCGTGGGATTCTCGTGCTTGAAGCAGGGATGTGTTTTGTTTCTGTCATTGCCATAAGCACTGTTGTCACCATCAATTCTCTCATTATTGTTTATTCCTGCAGTCTCCCGATGTACTGTAGTAGTTACAGCGGTAGTGGTGGTGACGTGAGGTGGGTGGTTTTCGTGTTATATAGTGTGGGAGCACGCCATCTACATGCACTCAAACAAACCGAAGCTTTGTTGCGGAAGTTGCCCCCCTTGCGCATGTAGGGGGTGCGCAACGTTGAAGGTTTGTTGCAGTTGATGCAGGAAAGCCTCCAGCTTATGGTGGCTTTTTATGTGGAGGATGATGTCGCTGCTGACTGTCGCATGAAGCGAGCTTCGTTCTGAGACCTTGTATGGAGCCACACCTGTTCCACTGAGTGTTCCACTACGGCCACAAGCCCTGGGTATGGGTTTGCGCCAGAGGCTTGACCAACTGCAAGCTTCTTAGGGCTCTTGGGCAGCCCAGCATTTGGTACTTGATGACATCCTTTTTCAACACACCCCAAAGCCAATTTAAATGCCAGACTCACTGGTCCCTTACCCACATTGACAAACTGCCCAGAGCTCAGAGTCTCTAGACCTCAACCCGAAATCCAACAAGAAGCACGAACGACTTGAGCCACCCACAATCAGTTCTAGATCCTAAATCTCCGGTTCAGCCTAGTCGTCGTCGCAAGGACCTGCCTAGACGAAGGCGTGCTCCCGGACCTGCCGCTGGGCTCAGGAAACTGCTTTAACTTGTCTTAGGGAGTGTATAGGGTTTATGTAGAGTCTTAGGATCACAGCTATCATCAGTTGTGTCAGGAGCGAGGCTGCAAACCCTAAGACAAACAGGCTTCCTCAAGCAGTTCAGTGAACAGGTTGGCAAGCACGTGCCTACCTGACTCGCAGCCGCTTCGCACCCTACTTCCCAACCACCCTTTGAGCCTTTGAGTCTACTTTAACAAGAGCCCAATGGCCTATCTGGCCTATCTTTGTGGAAAAAAGTTCATCGTATCCCGATTCTATGTGCATTGCGCATAGCACCTATAACCCAGAACCCCACTACATGGCTACCTCGGCTCTTATCGGGATCGAATATTTCAGCAGGCTATACCTTCAGTTCCGCAACAGCCAGAGCTGCAGCCCGAAGCTGTGGAACCTTTACGACCTACCTGGGAGTTTTAGGGGTGGACTCAAATGCAGGGACCCGAAACAAACGGCGCCGATACCCAGAAAAGCCCATAGCCATAAACTCTAAACCCCCAAATGGAGGGAAAAGCACTGGCCCAACATCTACGAAAACGTATTACTCTGCGTGCGCTCGGTGTCCAGTTCAAGCCCTAAACACCAAAAGGAAAACAGAAACACCAGCCAAGCCCCTGATTCAAGGCTTCCCTTTCTTACGGGCCATTCTGCGAAGCTGGAGGCAGCCAGTCGGGAACTCACGGAGACTTGGCTGGCTTGGGGTTTAGGCCAGAAGTCCTCAGTACGCTTAGCGGTTTGGGGTTCCTTTTCAACCTTGGGGTGCTCTAGGCTCTCTCGGATGGTATAGCTGTCTTTCGTGGGTTCAGGTTAGTGGGGTTTGGGTCTGTAGGTCCTGAGTTTAGGTTGCAGGGTTATTGAGCCCCAATCCCAACGCCATGTCCAGCCAAATCCATGGCTTCAACCAGTTGGACCATATTCGCGTGACTGTAGGGGCCTAAATCGCCTATACTCTTCTGGGGGGTTCCTTTTTATATAGTTTTAGTATACTATGGCCCCAAACCCGGTTCTAATTCCATGTACTGAGGCCCCTACATTACAGAGTATCAATCTTCTCATCAGCGGCTATCGCGCCTCTCAGCCGAGCGACTCATTTCCGTGCAGGGCGTTGGGTGCCGAAGCGTGTGAGTTTATGGTTTCAGGTTTTATGGGGCCTTGTGGCTTTGGGAAGCTAAACCCCACCCTAGTAAACGTAAAGCTCTAAACAAACACTCTGACCCCAGAAAGTCCACCCCGTTCTCGAAAAGCCCCAACCCAAAGTCTTCACTTTTCAGGACAAGGACCTCGGAGCCATCACCGCAATGCTTGGCAGGGTGGCTACTGCGAAGGTTATCGACCTCAGCAGCCGGTCTGGTCCGGGATTGGGGTTCAGGATTTCTGCTTCGGCTTATGGTTGGGGCACTTGGATGTCGCCAGTTGTTTGTTGTGTAGGTTTTGGGGTGAAGATAGTGTTTTACGGATTGGCACAAGATGACGAGCTGGTCCCACATGCAAGTCAACACATTTGCATCCTCTCATTTCTGGCAAGACCGCGAGGTTTTTACATGATGCATCTTCGTGGTGCTTCTTTGCTGTTGCTTTTGGTTGTGATGGTGACGCTGTTACTGCCATCGCGGCTTAGGGCTGGAGGGTTTTGTTGTTGAGGTGGTGCGGATCTACAGGGTTTTGAAATGAGCCTATACGAAGCCTCAGGCGGCCCACGAAAGTCCTTTCCAAGGCTCCAAAGCCTCTCCAAATCTGAGCATCGGCAGACAGCAAAATCATTACGACAAATCCGGCAAGGTTCGGAGCACATTCTAGAGCACGGCCCCCAAAATGGCCCGTGTCCTGAATCAGCCCCGCAGGAGCACGTTGTAGAGGTCCATTGCTTAAACCCGGTGCGACATTCTACGCACCAGGATTCCTGGCGTGTATACTAGGATTACCTAAGTTTTGCTCTCAATCCTCATCTGTATTGATTTCGGCCATATATTGCCGAAAGCTTCAGGCAACAATCCGCTTCTGACGGACAAGTCCATGGCTCCGTTTCTGGATGCAGTGCCGCAGCTCTTGAATCAGGGAGTTGCGGCAAACAATAGGTCGAAAGATGGAAGCCTGATAGTTATAAGTTATAAGAAGGAGCCCGCAAGACCCTGTTCTAATTATTACAGCCCCTACACTACATAAGATCTTTGTTATATGTTGTCTTGTTCAATGTTGCTGAATGAGTTATCATGTAGCAGGACCCTCCAGATTAGGAACTCCCATGTCTTCAGTCCAGGACTTCGTGCAAAGTGCAGTGTTTCGGAATTGGGATTTAACAGCTTGGGGGTGTGACCTGCAGGCACAAGGGCATATTGTGAAGTCGATTCGACTACTGGGTGTTGCCCGTGATCTCTTGCAAACTTTGCAGTCTGGTTTCGATCCGTCATTATTCCGCGTGGCTCGGAAACCCCATTCCCTAAAGAGTGTTAGCACTTATGGCTAGCTCTGGGCCTTCCTGCGTTTGTTGGCACGCATGGCGAACCTTGCATTCGGCATCGCATATGTCCAGTTGTAGGCGACAGTGGTGGTAGTAGTCGTAGTCGTCGACTGCTGCTAGTGTTGGTGCTGGTGGCTTCTTGTTGTTGTTTTTGGTGGTGGTGGTTGTGGTGGTGGTGGTGGCGGTGGTGGTGGTGGTTGTGGTGGTGGTGGTGGTGGTGGTGGTGGTGGCGGCGGCGGCAGTGACGGTGGCGGCGATGCGGGTGCGGTTGCTTGTTCCTTGTTCCCGTTCCTGCTCCTGTTCATGTTGTTGTTGCTGGTTGTGGTTGTGCTTGCAACTTTTTGCAGAGTCTCCCCTTCGACATTCTTGTGTTTACAGCAGCTACCAGAGTAGCCAGTAGCCATAGCAACAACATTGTAAAGTGGCAGCAAGGCTATTGCGGACGGTACGTCATGACAGGATTACAGCATGACACCAAGTTAGGAGCAACGCCTGCACAACACAGCATCACAGTATCATCAAGAAAATTGTCGTCACAACGTGACCATCAGCAACCTTGCCTCGGAACAAGGTCATGACAGTCTCAATGATTATTGCGACATGTTGCTCAGCCAAATGGGGGTTTCCGAAAATAAGGTACCTTAATACAGTACCATAAATAGTAGGATCCTTATTATAAGGACCCCCAAATAAGGTACCCCCAAGTTTCGGAAAGTCCCAAATCCTGCCAAACCTTCCCAGTTGCTTCGCCAAGAGCTGCCAGCCACCGTGGCCAGACTTAGTCTGGCCAACTGTCTCTTGCCTGGAAGCCGAAAGCATATGGGTAGTTCTCTAAAT